GATCAGAGACGCCTTTATGGTTTCATCAGGGTGTGTGTATGCGTGGGGGGGGGGCATGCGTGCGTGCGTGCGTGTGCGTGCATGCATGCCAGTTTTAAGGCTTGAGTTTGGGGCCTAGTTGCCATCCCTTAGCCTTTTTGCTCAAAGCTGGTGTTCTATCCCTTGAGCCATACCTCCAGTTCAGCTTTTTGGTGATTAATTGGAGATAAGAATCTCTTGGATTTGTCTGCCTAAGCTGGTTTTGGACCCCTATGCTCAGATCTCAACCTCCTGGTAGCTAGGATTACAGACATGAGCCACCAGCACTTGGCTAAATTTCATCATCTTCCTTCAGTGTCTGTCTATTGTGTTGTTGTGATTGAGAACAGGCATTACACTCTGCTCTGTTACCTGCAGTGACACAGCTGACCAGTGATTGCCCCGTTCTCTGCCATACCACCAGCCCAGCCAGCAGGCCTGTCCTCGTTCCCCCTCTCTCCATGGCCATCGGGGAGCCTCCCCTCTGCTCCCAAGAGGCAGCAGCAGACTCCATTGCAGATTCAGTCTCTGTGGAGACTGGAGTAGATGAAGGGCTCTTCTTGGCGTGGCTGGCGTGGTTCTGCCATTTCCATGTAGGCGTCAGGAACCATTCCTGCCCCACAGTCAGAAGCAGGAAGTCTGTTTATTTATCAAGGCTCGGGAAATCCTGGGTGCAGGAAATATGCAAAAAGATTCTTCCTGCTTAACACTCCAGCTTCTAGACCATGACAGGATTCATATCGAATATCCATGTTTATGCTGATGTAAAATATTTTTCCCTAATAACAGATAAACCCGCACTGTCCTTTACTGATCCGGAAGTGCCCAATGAAAACACTTTTGACAGATCCATGAAGACACCTAGTGGTTTCATGTCCAATATGGAATCAGATGTTTCTCTTACAACCAATTGGGAAGCTGCAAACACTGCAAACTATAAGGTGAGCCTGAACTGTGTCCCTGTGCTCTTGTAACTGTCAATGCGTAACCCAGGACTGCCTCCCTGGATACAGAGACTTGGTATTGTGCTCTAAAAAAAGTAGTATTTGTGCCTTTGAGTTAAAGATGATGGAAATTAAAGCTGAATGTTTAAATTCTGGACGTAGGATTGATTTCAGCTCATTGCCACTGTGGTAAGCTTTGTTTTCATCTCTGCAGAATTCTGCTCTATCAACCTTAAAAGATAACAGAATTCATCTGGGCACCAGTGGCTCATGCTTATAATCCCTATAATCCTAGCTACTCAGGAGGCTAAGACCTGAGGATTGTGGTTTGAAGCCAGTCCAGGCAAGAATGTCTGTGAGACTCCAGTTAACTACAGAAAACTGGAAGTGGAGCTGTGGTAGATCATTAATCTTGAGCACCAAAGCTTAGGGACAGTGCCAGGTCCAGAGTTCAAGTCCCAGGACTGGCACAAAAAAAAAAAAGAGAGAAAAAGAATAAGAGCTGGGCGCAGGTGGCTCACGCCTATAATCCTAGCTATGTGGGAGGCTGAGATCTGAAGAATGCAGCCAGCCTGGGCAGCAAAGCCCAATAAATCACCAGAAAAAATGGAAGTGGAACTGTGGCTCAAGTGGTGGAGCACTAGCCTTGAGCTGAAGAGCTGAGGGACAGTGCCCAGGCCCAGAGTTCAAGCCCCATGACCTACCAAAAAAAAAAAAAAGGGGGTGAAATCAGCACTGTTGCATCTTTAATCCTAACACTTGGGAGGCTGAAGCAGGAGGATTAAGAGTTGAGTCCAGGAGTTGAAGACTAGCTTTGGCCACACAGTGATACCAGGGCCATGCTGTGTGGCCCCTCGTGGGCATGCAAGTCAACGGTGACGGAAAGACTGAAAACACTGTAACCAGTGCAGGTGGTTGTGTTTGTAGTACGGGGCTCAGTGCACACTTCATACGTGTGTTCATTGTGTTTGTAGTATGGGGATCCCGTGCAGATTTCACATGCGTCTTCGCCTTCGTTTCTGCGGCTTCCTTCGCCTCTCACGTCATCTCTGTGCACTGACGGCAATCCTGCAGGTAGGAGGCGCCCTGTTCTTTTTCCCTCTGACGCTTTGCTGGTGGCAGTAGTTGTAGCCAAACAGGCTATGACTTTGGGCACAGAACCTTCGGGCCAGCAGAGGCCTCCAAGTTCAGGCCTCTAAGCCCAGCCACACTTGAGGACTTTGGAATGTGTGTATGTGTGTGTGCGCCAGTACTGGGGCTTGAACTCAGAACTTTGTGTTCTTGCTTGGCTCAAGGCTCTCATTCTACCATTTGAGCCACATCTCTACTTTTGGCTTTTATGTGATTAATTGGAGCTAAGAGTCTCATGGGCTTTCCTGTCCTGCCTGGCTTCACACCATAATTCTGAAATCTCAGTCTCCTGAGTAGCTAGGATTACGATGTGAGCCACAGCTCCAGGCCATAACGTAAACATTTTATGTGCATCTTTTCTTTTGCTCACACAGACTATTTCTGAAAGATGTCCCAGCAACTCTATGCTGGCACCCCTGGGGGAGGGGCTGGGGGCCGGACTGGAGCATCCAGGGTCCTCTGGGCCTCTTGTGAATTTGGCACATGCATTACCTAGTTGAAATAGAGCTTTGCAGCCCTGTGTTAGACAGCATTGCTGCGTTCCAGCTGTTTCGGTTTCCGATGGGGGTTGACGCTTTCTTCTGTGTCCTCGCCCGGCCGGGAATGTTATGATCTCCAGGGTTTCTGATGAACAAGGCTGTTGCGTGCACCCGCAGGGTGCGTGTGGAGCAGTGTGGAGAAACCGAGGCCCTGAGCATGGCTCACTACAGCAGCCCTGTGATTTTGGGGGTGAGTGGAACTGGTTTGTTGTATAATTCAAAATAAGATAAGCACAGAATCATTTCAGTGACCAACCTTGAAGTTTAACTGTCTCTTCCCAGCACTAGGTTCTAACGATTATGAAAGCAATTTTGGGAATAATTTTTGTCTGTACAGCTAGATCATGTGTTCTTTCATTCATTGATAGTGACACGCAGTAGCGTCTGTCTGTGAATCAGACAAGTCATGAAAGCCTCATGGTGACAGCCGCCATGTTGGGGTGAGAAGCCGTCTCTCGGCGGAGCCCTTGGTCTCTGGCTGGCTGAGGAGCCGGGCGGCGGGGAGAGCAGGAAGGAGCTGCTGAGTCTGGAGCTGCTGAGTCCGGCTCCATCTCCTAATGGCGTTGGGTCACAGTAAGCGAGCCAGCCCCACTCGCCACAGCTCCACTTCCGGCTGTTTGCTGGTTAACCGGCAATGAGTCTTACAAACTTTTTTGCCCAGGGTGGCTGTGAAGCTGGATCCTCCCTCCTCCCACGTCAGCCTCCTGAGCAGCCAGGTTACAGCGTGGGCCACCGGCGCCGGCTGGACAAGGCCACGAGGCCTGTGAGCCCTACAGGCCATTTGACTTCTGGGCTGTCCTGAAGGCGTGTGGGCATCTGGGTACCACACTGGCCCAGACCTGTCTCCCGCCCTCCCCCTGAAGCTGAGGCTGGAGGTGGCCAGGAGGTGGGGGGAGAGCGCGCCCCTCCCAGGGGAGAACCCTGCTGCACTGCACGGCAGGCGGAAGCACAGCATGGGTTGGACGCATAGCAGGAAACTAGCTGGAGGCTGGGGGCTTTGGGGCGGCCACAGTGACCAGAAGGGTGGGACCTGCATCCGTTCTACCCCAGGCTAGTGCTTGGTGCCGCAGGGAATAGTGACCGGAGCCAAGGCCTGTGACTGCGACCTTGAACCAGCGGGCAGGGCTGTGGAAGTGGTCTCTTTGTTGTCCTTATCAAATTTGTTGTTCCTTTTATTCCTAGGTGCCTTACTCAGCAACACACGTAAGTACTGCCTCTTTCCTTCTTCCTCCCTTCCGTCTTCTTTCCTTCCTTCCCTCCCTTCCTCCCTTCTTTCCTTCTCCCTTCCTCCCTTCTTCCTTCTTCCCTCCTATCTCCTTCCTTCCTTCCTCCCTCCCACCCTCCCTTTTTCCTTCCTTCCTCCCTCCCTTCCTTCCTCCCTTCTTCCTTCCTTGCTCCCTTTGCTGATACTAATGTTTGAACTCAGCACCTCACCTTGAGCCATGCCTGAAGCCTAGCTTTTTGCTGGCTATGTTGGGAGATGGAGTCTCACAGATGTCTGGCTGGGCTGGCTTTGAACTACTATTCGTAGATCTCTGCCCCTGAGTACAGCAGGACAGGGATCTGGCACAGAGCAGCCCGTGTGTGACGGGCAGCTTGGGGCTCCATGCAGACAAGCGTAGGAGCTAGCAGCAGGCACAACATGGGCCGAGTTTTGTCATCACGTCGGCTAGAGCTCGGGTTCAGCAGATTTCCTTCCATCCGAGTGATGCTAGCGGCACCTCCCAGCCCGGAACGATCTGTGCTCATTTTGTCACACATGCTGCAAGACGTGCGCACGCCCCTGCCACACGCTCCCTAGTGAGGAGCGAGGGGGCTGTTCCGCGTCGTGAACAGCAGTGTCCCTACACCCGCTCACCTGCTGTGCGGGGCACCGACGTTTTCTGCTGCATAGGCCCCGAACGTGCACTCAGCGTATCTAGTTTACCGGCTCTGCGAAGATAGTTGGGTATCTGAGGCACAAGTCAGTGTGCTTTTGTAAGTAGAGTCTACAGGAACGTTCTGTGATGGATACCTCTGGGTAGGAATGTAAATGAGAGCGGGGAGAGAATGGTGGGAGAGATGACAGGCGATCCTCCTGATCCAGCCTGGTGTAGCTACCAGATTGGTCACCACTGCACTTGGCTGTGGAGTGGAAAGGAGGTCTTGCTTTCTTGTCAGGCTGGCCTTGAACAGTGATCCTCCAGTTCTCAGCCTCCCATGTAGCCAGGGTTACAGGTATGAGCCGCCAGCTCCCTGCCCAGCTTTCTCTTCACTGTTGTCCCCTTGCAGGTCCCCATCACCATTCAGTCCATCACCATCCGTTCTCAGAATCACACGCTGCAGCGGCTGGAGGACACGGCAGTGCTGCAGCCGGCTCTCCTTACTGGCCAGGGCGGAATCTGCATTAACGTTGTTCTTGAGGTCCGCTCCCCACTTGCTCTGCCGGCTCCCGTGGTTATGGCAAGCTCTGGACCTGTGGGGAGTGGGGTGCCTGTCACAGGGGCCCGGCCCCTCTCGGGGTGTTGGCCTGTCCCACTGGGCCCCTCTGCAGCCTCCACAAATGTGTTGTGGTTTTGTAGCTGCCGCTGCTGTGTTTGTACAAACACTGAGCGCAGGAGCCAATGTGGAATTAATGCATAACTCGGGCACCGAGAGGCTCAGGTGACCCCATCTCTGGGGTGGGGCTGTGGGGGTCACTGCAGAGTCAGCAGAGAAAAGTGGCAGCCCAGGGGCTTCTTTGGGTTGTAATATAGCAGGTGTGGGCACCTTTGGGGCATCCTTTTGCTCTGTTTAGGTCAAGTACAGCCTCACGTACACAGACGCAGGGGTCATATCGTCTGCGGGCGTTGCCTTCCTCCTGGGCTCCCTCAGCGGCGCGGTGGCTGATGTGCAGCAGAAGTTTGAAATTCACTTTCTCCAGGTGAGTTGGCTCAGCTCCATTCAAGTATTTCACAGCTGTGTAAATAAGAGCATAACGTTATTTATCTGGGTGCTGGTGCTCCTGCGTCTAATCCCAGCTACTCTACTCAGGAGCTGAGATCTGAGGATTGAGGCTCAAAGCCAGACTGGACAGGAAACTTATCTCCAGTTAACCACTAAAAAGTCTGAATTGGAGGTATGGCTTACGTGTAAAGCACCAGCTTTGAGCAAAGTAAAGGCCTGAGCCCAGACCCTCAGTTTGTTTCAGTACTAACACCAAGTCGGTTTTTTTTTTTGGTCGGCTGTGGGGCTTGAACTCTGGGCCTGGGCGCTGTCCCTGCACTCTTCAGCTCAAGGCTAGCGCTCTACCACTTGAGCCACACCATTTCCAGCTTTTTCTGCTTATGTGGTGCTGAGGAATGGAACCCAGGGCCTTCTGCATGCGAGGCAAACACTTTACCACTGAGCCACCTTCCCAACCCCAAATCATAATTTCTTAGTGAGACAAAGTCATTTAGAAGCATCACCCCGTGCGGCGCTGGGTCCAGCACAAAGGGAACCTCACAGAACAGGAGGCTGGCGTGTGGAGCAGGGCGGGGGAGGGGGGGTGATGGGAAGGGAGCAATGTGGGCCTCAAGCCTTTCCCTTTCCACCTGTTTGTCCAGCTCTGTGGTGGACCTCACACGCCCAGGGAAAGAAACCCTGTGCTGGTCACCGTCCCCAGCGTGACTGTGAACGCAGCGCGAGTTCCCCTGCCAGCTGCAGTGCGTGCTCATGGGGGGCTTTCTGTATTTCTCTGCAGCAACACACAAAGCCAGTTCCTGTCAGCGGAAACCCGGGCTACGTGGCGGGGCTCCCGCTGCTGGCTGGCTTTCGGCCTCACGGGGGATATCCTTTTTTTGGTCTGGGAAGGAAGGTGATTCTCTTCCTCTTGGGGCTCTGTGGACGGCCTGTGGGAAGGAGAGACCCGACATGGCCAGAGCTTCCTCTAAGGTTTGTGTGTGCACATGTGTGTGGCAAAAGGGAGGGGACTGGAGGAGACTGGTGCTTGCACAGCCCAAGAAAATGGCAGTAGTTAGAACTAAAATCTTAAGACAGAAAAGTTGCGTTTGGGCATATTTGCCTCCATATTGCAAATGAAACTCCTAAGAAAATTGATGATTTTTTTTTTGGAGGGGGGATTTAGACTTAGCTCTGAAGGGCCACTTTTTTTGGAGGGGGGATCATGGGGCTTGAATTCAGGGCCTGGGTGCTGTCCCTGAGCTGCTCAAAGCTGGCACTCTACCATTTTGAGCCACAGTGCCACTTCCAGTTTTCTGGTGGTTTATTGGAGATTAGAGTCTCACAAACTTTCCTGCCTGGGCTGGCTTTGAACCATGATCCCTGGATCTCAGCCTTCTGAGCAGCTAGGATCACAGGCGTGAGGCACTGATGCCCAGCGGAAGGGCCACTTTCTGAAGAATTTCCTCAGGAAGAAGGCCAAGTGAGTGCCAGTGCCTCCCCCCTGTAATCCTAGCTACTCAGGAGGCTGATATCTGAGGATGCCATTCCAAGCCAGCCCAGGCAGGAAAGTCTGCGACCCTCTTAGCTCATGGCCGGTCTTGTGGTGGGTCTGGTGATGCCTCAGGACTGACAGGTGGGCTGACTTGAGTACCAGGTTGCTGGAGCGCTGGGCACGGCCTTAACTGTGCCTGAATGTCTGGGATTGTGCAGACCCTCAATAGATACCGACAGCTCACCATCCTGCAGAGCACACCTGAGCAAGACTGCTTTGCGCGCCCGGGCCCCCGGACCCCGGTGCTGTTCGGGTATGACGTGCAGTCCGGCTGCCGACTGAGGTGAGCCACCTGTTCCCATGGGGACCTGTTGGTGGGCACCACAGAAGAAGGCCCCTGTCCCCTGTATTTGCCATGCTGTGCCTCCGCCACGCATCAGTGGTCACCATTAACCATCAATAGCAAATGACCACACCACGCTCCTACACACATGGCAGCTGAGAGCTCACGGCTCTGTGCTCCCGTGTAAGCTTGCCTAGCACTTAATGTGCTGAAGTCCTTCCTCCGTTTCTCTCTCCCTTACACGGTAGGGTAAGCAGTGAAAGGAAGCCTGAATGGGACCTGTGCTTTTTTTTTTTTGGCCAGTCCTGGGGCTTGAACTCTGGCCTGGGCACTGCCCCTGAGCTTCTTTGGCTCAAGGCTAGCACTCTACCACTTGGGCCACAGGGCCCCTTCTGGCTTTTTTTTTTCTTTTGAGTGGTTTATTGGAGTCTCACAGACTTTACTGCCCTGCCTGGCTTTGAACCACGATCCTTAGATCTGCCTTCTGAGTAGCTAGGATTACAGGCATGAGCCATTGGTGCCTGGCTGCTTTTGTTTTTTTTATTATCAATCATGTATGTGATATAAATTGGCAAATAATTCTGCACAGCTGGATAAAACCAGTTCTTCCCCCTGTGGGCCCATTCCAGAGCGATCACTTGCCATTCTTGTGGCCCGATGGAAATTTTCCTCAAATCTTTCTCTCGTTTATTTTATTTGCCATTACTGGGGCCTAAACTCAGGGCCTTGGTGCTGTCCCTTAGCCTTTTCTGCTCAAGGCTGGCTCTGTACCATGTGAGCCATGGCTCCACTTTGGATTCTTGGTGGTTCACTGGAGGTAAGAGTCTCATGGACTTTCCTGCCTGGGCTGGCTTGGAGCCAATATCCTCAGACCTCAGCCTTCTGAGTAACTGGGATTACAGGCGTGAGCCACTGGTGCCTGGTTTTCCCTATCTTTAAGTGACTTCCACATAATGCTGCTCCCTGATATTTGGGTTTTCTGAGTGATTCCGGAAGATTCTCAGAGCCTTTACTGTGCCAGAGTCCTTCAGGAGGAGGGGCGGGGTTGCGGAGAGGCAGTGTTTCCCCAACTTCCATCCACGGCACTCTGAACAGAGCATGTCTCACAGTGGAGTGTGGTTTGAGAAACGCGATTGTGGCTCATCTACCACCCCCCTCGTGCAGGGGGGCCTCTCCCTCCTGGACAGGGAGAGAGGGAGAGGCACAACACTGGGCGGGTGGGGTGGGTGGATGCAGGCCTCTGCTGCTTCAGTTGGCCTTTCCCTTCCTGAAGGCTGAGCAGCGCCGTCCCGTGTGAGCTGGCTGCACAGAAGGTTGGGGCACTGCTGAGGGGCCAGGCCTTCCCTGACTACGTGGCCTCCTTTGGAAACTCACGGCCCCAGGACATCCTAGATTGGGTGCCTGTCCACTTCGTCACCCACTCATCCAGAGGGAAGGTAGGGAGAAAGAAGGGCAGCCAGGACCATTATGTCTGTGCAAATGTGCTGCTGCCTGAGACACCCCAAATCCAAGCTAGGCCTCCCCCAGGCATCTCATGCTGGGGCAGTAAAGATGGAGCCATCCGCCTGCGCAGTGCACAGGCCCATATGAGCTTTCAGTTCCAAGTCCCCAAAGAGGAACGGAGGCTGATACCCTACAAATAGGTTCCTGGTCACGTGGCACTCTCCGCCCCCCAATTTTCTTTTGTCTTAGCAGTCAAAGTGTGGGCGGCCCGTCCAGGCCCCAAGGCGCCCGCTCCCACTTTATCGCTCCCGCCGCTCATCGCCGGCTTCTGCCTGTCAGCTTCGTGGAGGCCTCTCATTATCCACGTTGTATTTATAGCCTGGGCTTGGGGTGAGGAGGGGGCGCAGCTCCCCAAGGGGCCCAGCATGCTCCAGTGTGCTCTGCAGCTGCGCACACATTGCTCTTCCATCTCCTGGGAGCTGGGCACTGACCTGTCACCCTCACCTGCCTGGATGGACGATGGGGGAGGCCGCTGGACTCGCCCTAGGCTTCCGCAGGGGGCCAGCGCCCCCAGCCTTGTGGCTTCCAGGTGGACTTCAGCTGTGCTCCGAGGGCCACTCCCAGCTCAGGGTTCCACCAGCGCTTTGGGGGCACACAGCAGGCCTGCCACTTTCTTGTGCCCTAAGGCATGTATTTAGAAATGTGTGTGTGTGTGTGCGCGCGCGCGCTGGCGCGTGCGTGCGTGCTGGTACTGGGGCTTGAACTCAGGTCCTAGGCATTATCCTTTAATATACACACACACATATTTTTTTTTACTCAAGGCTAATGCTCTACCACTTGACCCACATCTCCATTTGTCTTTTAGCTGGTTAACTGGAGTCTCGTGGACTTTTCTTCCCAGGGTGGTTCTAAACTGCAATCCTCAGTTCTCAGCCTCCTGAGTAGCTGGGATTGTAGGTGTGAGCCACCAATGCCTGCCTCCAGAGAAAGGTTTTGTTTTTGTTTTCATTGTGGAAGTTTTAAGCATCCAGGGAAGTGCCTGGGCATGGAACCCATCCATCTACCCCGCCATCATACCCCTCCCCTTCCCCCCCCAACAGCCAGCACTGCCACCTGAGTAGACTCAGAAGGCAACAAAGTCTGGAGGCCTCCTTTGGGGCTGACCAAGCCTTTTGGGTCCTGGGGCAGCGGCAGTGTGCAGCTGTCCACTGTGGCATGCATGCTTGGTGCAGATGCTTTGCTGGTATCTTTGACCAGGTATGGACACAGCTGAATACCTGGATGTCAGTTCTACATGGCCAACTGATAAAATGAGATAAATGAGGAGTGCTTAATCCATGCTTGTAGCAGTGGCTCACGCCTGTCATCCTAGCTACTCAGGAGGCTGAGGTCTAAGGATCATGGTTCAAAGCCAGCCCGACAGGAAAGTCTGTGAGACTAGGCACTGTCCCTGCGCTTCTTTTGCTCAAGGCTAGCGCTTTACCACTTGAGCCCCAGTGCCACGTCTAGCTTTTTCTGCTTATGTGATACTGAGGAATAAAACCCAGGGCTTCCATGAGACTTATCTCCAGTAGACTCAGAGAAACTCCATCAGAGCTGTCTTGGTCTCAGTTCGGGTGGGTGCCCTCTCCCGGGCAACGCTAAGTGGCTGTGGGGACGGTGGTCTGGGGTTCTAGGGCTCAACCCCGAGTGGCTGCCGTGCTCATGGTTTGGGGTCGCATGCAGGGGCCCTGCCAGCTGCCCGTGGCTCTGCGCGTGGAGGTGGAGTGGACCAAGCTCGGGAGCCTGGGGAACCCGCAGGCCAGGGTCGTGAACGTCACCGCCAGCCTCCTCTCTGCCCCGCTTCCCGAGGTGAGCGCGCCCCTCCCCGCAGCCCCGCAGCCCCGCAGCCCCGGCAACAACCAGCTCAGAGCCCAGTAGCACTGGCAGATGTATTACTTGGTAAAGGCGTTGAGCGCCCACACTGGGGCGCCCCGCGGGGAGAACGCCCCTGGGCAGGAGGGGACGCCCCTGCAGAGGGGGGCTGACCTCTCCCGCTGGCCCGCCCGCGCCCCCGGCCGCAGGTCCGCATGGGCAGGGACGGCGCAGTGCTCTTGTCCAGCGCGGTCCGGTTCGTGGACGTGTCCGCTCCGGCCGAGGCCGGGCTCCGGGCGCCGCCTGCCATCCACGCCCGGCTGCCCCCCGGCTTCTTCTTCCCCTTCGGGTGAGGTGAGTGCGTGGGGGGGGTTGGGGGCAGTCCTTCCTCCCTGCCCCCCACTGGACGCAGAATCTTCCTGAAGCGAAGCACCTACTGCAGGACGGCTCTGCACAGCCGGGGGGGGGGGGGGGGGGGGGCTACGGGGAGGTCCGGGCGCGGGATGGGGATGGGGGTGCGCAGGGATGGAGGGCCGGGCGCGGGGATGGGGGGCCGGGGTGCGGGGAGGGGGGGGCGCGGGCAGGTTGAGGGCGCAGCGTGGACCGCAGTGAAGGGGGAAAGGCGGAGGGCGGAGCGGCTGGAAGCCGGGGTGCCGCTGGGCCTCACCCCCCAGGGCCGGCGCCCCAACACCAGCTCCTTACAAAGCGGGAATGGAGGGCTTTTCGCCAAGCGGCTGCTTCTCCTTGCAGAGGGCGCCCGGCCCGCCGCCCGCGGGAACCGAGGACGGAGTGGACGGGCGGACGTCGTGCCCCGCGGTCCGCGGCGGTGAGGCGGGGCCGGGCCTCCCGCCCTCCCCGAGGCCTAGGCCTCGCCCGGCAGCAGCCCGTGCCCGCGCAGCAGCCCGTGCAGCCTCTCGATCTCGCGCTCCTGCGGCAGGGCAGGCCGGGGTCAGGCCGGGGTCGGCCCCGCGTCCCGGGGTCAGGCCGGGGTCGGCTCCGGGTCCCGGGGTCAGGCTGGGGTCGGCTCCGGGTCCCGGGGTCAGCCCCGCCGCCATCCCCGGCGCCCCGGCGGCTCCTCACCTTCTCCGTGCAGCTGAACTCCAGGTGCTGGATCTTGGCGGCCAGCTGGACGTTCATCTGCTTCAGCCGCAGGAGCTGCCGCTCCGAGCGCGTCTTCACCGAGATGATGATCCCTGCGGGGAGGGCCACGACACGGCTTCCGCGCGTGCGCATGCGCGCGCGCGCAGGACCTGGGCGGGAGCTCGGGACCGCGCTGCCCGGAGTTGTTCACGCAAGGTTCCCGCGCTGCCACGTGAGCCGCAGCGCGCTTCCGGCCTTCTGGCGGTCCGTGGAAGAGTCTCACAGACTTGGCTGCCCGGATGCTTTGAAGCACTACCCTCAGACTTCCACCCAGCTCGGACCCCCAAATTCAAAACAGAGCCGCGCCAGGAAAAGCCTGAGAGCTTCTGGACCTTTCCAGAAGTGTTTCTTTCCCCCCTTTACTGTGGATAGAACCGAGGGCCTCAGCGCAGCCTGGTCTGGGCGCTCCTGCTCCAGCCTCCACACCACCTAAGACCGCAGGCACAGGCTGCGCTGCGGCAGCGACCATGGGAACGGCTGCGGTGAAGGTCCCGAGCACAGTGCTGCGGCGGCCATCTGCCAAGGGTGCCCCTCCGAGTCCCACAGACTTGGGAACCCCGGGTGACCAGCCGTGCCCTGTCCCACCCGCAGCCCACGCGCATGGGACGCACCATTGATGATCCGGGCCACACGCCACAGCCGCAGCAGGATCAGCAGGCCCAGGGCCTCGAACTCGTGTTCCCGAAACAGAAGGACAATGTCCAGGACAAACGACACTACCACCACGATGGCGTCCAGGATCTCAAACTTGTGGTGGAAGAACTCCAGGTGGAAGACGAAGATCTTCAGGAAAACCTCCACCATAAAGACGAACAGGATGGCAATGCTCATGTAGTGGAACACCTGAGGACGGAAACAGTCACCCGAGCCCCCGCTGCCGTGCACAGCCGACGGCGAGCCGGCCACCAGCTACGGGCGCACCACCCAGCCCTTGTTCCAAAGAACTGGGAGCCGTCACCCCCGCTAATTCTGGGGAGACAGAGTACCCATCAAGTGGTGGGGGCATCCCTCAGGTGTCACAGCTCCTGAACCCCGGAATGGGTGCCAACCTAGGTGGGAGGGAACTAGGGAAGAGCCCCCATCCAGTGTGTGTGTGTGTGTGTGTGTGCATGTGCATGTGCATGTGTGTGTGCGCGCCGGTCCTGGGGCTTGAACTCTTTTCTCTCGAGGCTAGTACTCTACCACTTGAGCCATGCCACCACTTCCAGAAATAAGCATGTCAGGGACCTTCCTGCCTGTCTTTGAACTGCAATCCTCAGATCTCAGCCTCCTGAGTAGCCAGGATTACAGGCGGGAGCCACCAGTGCCAGGCCCCATCCAGTTCCTAGCTGAGGAACCCTTTCCTCACAGCTGGCAAGTCCCACAGTGGCTAAATGGGGCAATTTGAACGTGAAAACACAACAGATGTACCGTGACACACACTGGATTGTTCTGACCTCTGAGTCCCCAGTGAGGACCTGCTGCTCTGGGGGTGGGGGTGGCCTGCATGCAGGGAGTAGAAGCCACCCCATGGGCAGCCATCCACCAGGGCTGCGCGGCCTTACCTGGGCCGCATAGTTGTTCTTGTCAGGCTGGATAATCTTCAGGTCCAGGATGAGTTCGGCAAGCACCAGGAGTGCATCCAGGATCACCAGGCAGATGACCACCACCTGCCACAGAGACCAGCCAGGAGCCTGAGCTCAGAGCATCCTGCCCAGTCCCTTACTGCCCCCCATACCCCCCATATTGCTACACTGCTCCTTTCCATTCTCCCCCTCCCTGTACCGTCACCCAAAGGCCACCTTCTCAGTGGCAAAAAGTATGTGCTTCTTAAAAAGTGGTTTGTTTGCTTTTTCTTTTGTGTGTCTGTGCCAGTACTGAGGCTTGAACTCAAGGCCTTGATGTTGTCCTGACCTTTTTTGTTCAAGGATGGTGCTCTATCACTTGAGCCACAGCTCTACTTCCAGCTTTTTGCTGGTTAACTGAAGAGTAACTAAACCTGAATTCTCAGAGCTGGGCGTTCTGACAGCTGGGATTGCAGGTGGGAGCCTCTGGCACCTGACTCCATTTTTAAAGCCACCCAAGTGTGGGGAACATTTTTTTTTCTTTCCATTTTACCCCAGAAGTCAGTGAGAGAGGTGCTGTCCACTGCTTCTAGAAGGGATCTGAACACGCGGGGTGCCTGCAACTGTGTCCTGCAAGTGCTCCCCCAAGGCCTCCCACTCCCCACACCCCAACTTGCTCCCAGCACCTGCTCATTCCCTGGGGTGTGCACGCGCTGCTCACCCCACGAAGCCCCCCACAGCCACAGGCAAAACCCAGCAGGCAAGCCAGGTGCCAGTGGCTCACGCCTGTCATTCTAGTAACTCAAGAGGTTGCAATCTGAGGACCACGGTTCAAAGCCAGCCCAGGCAGGGGTTTGTGACTCTTTATCTCCAATGAACCACCAGAAAACCAGAAGTGGCACTATGGCTCAACTGGTAGAGTACTCACCTTGAGCTGAAGAGCTCAGGGACAGTGCCCAGGCTCAGTTCAAGTTTCACAACCAACAACAACAAAAATCGGGCAAAGAATGGGCGGAGCCCCTAAGGCAGGCTGCTGGGGGCTTCTTTCGTGGAGCAGACGCGAGCGAGCGCCTTCCGCCTCCAGCAAGCAGCCTTTCACTACCACACGACTGTCTGGGAATTTGCATAACCTAAAAATTGCCACTGTGACCATTTTTAAATTACACCAAGTTCAGCGGCCTTCAGCACCCTCAGTCGCATGACTACCACCACTATCTAGTTCCAGCACCCCAAATGGGAACCCCAGATCCACTGTCACCCCTCCTCTAGTTTATGGGCAGCCGCCATCTGCGGCGTGTCTGCCCGCTGTGCCCGTCCCGTGAGTGCGGTCGCCGTGTGCAACCTTGCTGTCGGCCTCGAGGGCATCCACATACAGTGCAAGTCCGTGACTCCTTCCTTTTCATGGCCGAGTAATATTCCACTGAACGAACAGGCCACGTTTTATTTACCCATTCCCCCCGGACGGGCCGTCCCCCGCCCCCATCTGCCTCCCGGAGCGGCGGGCAGGCGCAGGGGCGGCCGCGCTGCTCTCCTACCTGGAACCGGTGCGAGATGAAGAGCCTGCGCAGGGCGCTCCTCAGGTGCGAGGTGAAGAGCCTGCGCAGGGCGCTCCTCAGGTCCCGGGGCGCCGCGGGCGCGGGCGCGGGGCCGGGCTCGGGGGCCGCGGCGCAGCCCTCCTCCGCGGGGCCCGGGCCCGGCTCCGGCTCCGGCGGCTCCTCCTCCTCGGCCTCGTTCTCCCACCGCTGGTAGTTGACGTTCCAGGCGCGGTAGTCGTCGCCGACCACGGTGAAGTGGCGCAGGAGGCGGCCCATGGCGGGGCGCGGGGCGCGGGCGCGGGCGGCCTGCGGGGCGGGGCGGGGCTCAGCGCCGGCGGCGGGGCCGGAGGACGGGGCGCCCCGGGGAGGACGGCGCTGGGCCCCGCCGGCTCCGGCCCGCCCCCTTCCCGCCCCTCCTCCCGGGCTCCAGCACGGCCTCCACGCGCGGCCCGGCCTCCAGCCCCACTCAGCCTCCACGCGCGGGCCTGGCCTCCAGTCTCCAGCCCCACTCGGCATCCACGCGCGGCCCGGCCTCCAGCCTCCAGCCCCACTCGGCCTCCACGCGCGGGCCCGGCCTCCAGCCTTGGCCTCCACGCGCGAGCCCAGCCTCCAGCCCCACTCGGCCTCCACGCGCGGGCCCGGCCTCCAGCCTCGGCCTCCACGCGCGGGCCCCGACTCCAGCCCTGGCCTCCACGCGCCGAAGGCCCTGCCCTCGCACGGCCCCCGGATGTCCCCGCCACACGATCCCTCTCAGGAACTTTCTCCCCCACGTCCTCCCCAGACCTGCTCACGGGGGCAGATTGCTCAAACACCCCCATCCTTCTCGATGATTCCGTCGCCCTCAGGCACAAGGCCCGGCTTGGCAAAAGCAAGATGCAGAAAGCTGGGCTGGAGGCCGGCGCTCCACCGCCCGGCCACGGCGCCCGGCCGGCTTTGTTTCAGCCGCTCACTGAGGTGAGTCTCATGGGCTCTCCACCGGGGCTGGCTCCAGGCACTGACCTCGGCTGGCAGCCTCCAGAGGGCCTGGCCTGCCACACACCCATCCGCCCTGGGGTCTGGAAACTTCCAGCCCCCCTCCCGGGGCCAACTTCCCCGGGGAAGCCACCCCTGGGCACAGGGAGCCCGCAGGTGCTGTGCAGAAACCACAGCGTCTCACGGGGAGGAAAACGCTCTTTCTGGAAACTTGTCACCACTCAAGATGCAACTTGGCCGTCATCCGGGATGGAAGTATTTATAGCGCCACAGCGCAGAACACCATGCTGATGTAAGTCAGGTCCGTGTCGGCCAGAGCAGCAAAGTTACAGAGCGAGGCTTAGACCCCACCCACGAAATGTGGGCCTCGCTCAGCGGCTTCACCACCCTGGCCCGTCTACACTGGGGAAACTGAGTCACAGGGGCGCACAGAGTGCCACCCAGGCCTGGCCCAGAGCGACCGCTCGAGAAGGACACACTCCTTTCCCCTCCTCCGTGGCCCTGAGGCTTTCTCACCGCTGCTCATCTCCCTGTCCGTGTCAAAGCCCAAGACGGGGCCAGGCACCGCGCATGCGCCTGCCTCATGGCGGTTCAGGAAGTGGAGGAGGTCAGAGTTCAATGCCAGCCTGGGCAAAAGCTCGAGACCCTATCTGAAAAATTACTAAAGCAAAAAGGGCTGGCTCCGGGAGCACGCCCATCACCCCAGCCACTCTGCAGGAAAGCCCACAAGATGCTTTTCTCCAGTGAACACCAAAAACTGTGGAGAGGAGCTGTGGCTCAAGTGGTAGAGCCCCAGCCTTGAACCAGAAAGCTCAGGGACAGCGGCCAGGCCCTAAGTTCAAGCCCCTGTACCTCACACCCTCTACACACACACACACACACACACACACGGCTAGGGCTGCCAAGGAAGTGCAAAGCTCTGGGTTCAAACTCCAGTGCCCCAACAAACCCCACCCAGGAGGGTGAGCCCCGAGGGACGGGAGCGCGCGGGCTGAGCACACAGGTGCTGCCCAGCAGGCAGGCCCAGGCCTGGAGGGGCAAGAAGGCTGAGGCCGTCATCTGCAGAGCAGGGAGTCCCCGGGTTCAAGGCTCAACAACATCTACAGGATAAAGGTTCTTTTGAAGACACTCGGCCTGACGCCCCTCCGGTCTCCCTCGGTCCCCTGGGAGCTGGTTTTGAACACCTGGTTAGCCTGGGACCCAGCACCTCCAGAAGGTCAGCATAAACCCTGGTGTCGATGCCAAGGCTGGGCCTGGCAAGCTCTTCCCACCAGGGCATGATGGGAATGCGCCTGAAGCCCGAGTTCAGCCCCCGCCAAGCAGGCCGTGCTGAGGAGTGGCCTACTGCGCTCCTGGGCAGCAGTGACTGTGACTGCACCAGAGTGCTGGGCAGACTCTTGGGGGAGAAGCTCAGGCCACAGGGCCTTTGCACGCACGGTTCTCTGCCTGGACTATGTAACTCCCTCTGTCACCTGCCTCCCCCAGCCCCGAGCTCCAGCAAGCTGGCCATGCCCCCTCTGCCACTTCTCTGTGACTCCATCACCCCATTCCTGAAGAGGGTGGGGGTCCCGTTTACACCGTAACTTCTGAACCCAGGAGAGGAGTGGTGGTGGAAAGCAGCCACAGCAGAAAGCAGAACCCCCCCCACGCCCCGCAGTGCAGCTCACCTGACCGCACCCCATTCGGTCTCAGTGTTCTGAGGAATGTCTATTTTTAAGATCAGGGAAGTCTTTAAATAAGCGTAGAGGCTTTTCCTTCTCCAGAGTGGGGAGGAAGTTTGAAGCCCACAGAAAACAACCCATGCTAGGTGATGGCTCCCCAGAGCCCAGCCTCCTCCCCATTTCCTGTAGGTTCAGGGGCCTTGATTGGCAGGTGCATCTGCCAATCAATGGGTGCACCATTTACAGACTGGGAATCGGGGAACAGGGAAGCCAAGAGACTTACCCAGAATCACACAGCCAGGGAGTCATGGAGTTTGAATTCGGGGCCTAGGCATTGTCCCTGAGCTCTTATACTCTATCACTTGAGCCACAGCACCACTTCTGGTTTTTTGGTGGTTCATTGGAGATAAGTTTCCAGGCCTTCCCACATGGGCTGGCTTTGAACCATGATCCTCAAGATCTCCGCCTCCTGAGTAGCTAGGAGGACAGACCAGAGCCACAACGTGCTCCTTTTGGTGGAACTGGGGTTTGGACTCAGCACCTTGAGCTTGCTAGGCAGACAACTGAGCCACTCTCAGCCCGTTAAGTCTTCTTCAGGTTGAGCCTGTCACTTTGTCCCCAGGGTTGGCTTAGACTACGATCCTTTTGTTTCTGCTTCCTGAGTAGCTGGGCTTACAGGCATGAACAACCATGCTTGGCTTCTTCTATTTCATTTCCTAAAAGGTGGGCTTTGGGACCCACCTATGGGCTGGGTTTGGAAGCTCACTTGGGAGGTGGAGGGCGCATGTGCCTCTTTCCCTGTGGCCGACATTGACACTCAGAGAAGTTCCTGAGTTCATGACGCAGAGGTGCACAGCTGCAGGCGACAAAGACAAAGCAGCGGCTGGGAACGGTGGCCCTGGGCCTCAGTGCCCTGGACCAATGTTTCAGTGATGCTCCAGCCAGGAGAATAGGGGGGCCACTCTGCACCCCTTTCCCTCCTGCCTCCACTGCCCCAGTGAACCCCTCCCCGACCAGGCCTGATGGCAGAATACCACGGCTGCACCTGGGGCCTCCCGGTAAACTGAGTCCGGGAGAGGACACAGCGGCCAGCGGCTGGGGAGCACGGACGCCACAGGCCTCACGACGCTGGGACACGTGCCCGACGCTGGGACACGTGCCCGACGCTGGGACACGTGCCCGACGCTGGGACACGTGCACGACGCTGGGACACGTGCCCGAGCTGCATTCCTTCCTCTGCCTCTTCCCGACTGCGCCGCCACGGCGCAACCCCCCGTGCCCGCGTCCTGCGCGGCCCCCGCCGGTGGCCCAGCCTGGCACTCAGCGCTCTTCACGGGCTTCCACACAGGGAAACTGAGGCTGGGGCCGTAATCTGGCCTACAAAGCTGGGCTGGCAGCATCCCAGCTCCCTACAGACTCTGCAAAGCCCACGACAGGGCTGTACCTCGTGACCCCAGGACGGCACGGCCGCTCGACCTGGGGAGAGGCTCGCTGTCTCCCACGGCCCTTTACCTTCTTGTCCTGGGCCTGCATGCTGCCGTCGTCCCTGCACCTGCGGGAGGAGACATGGCCGTCAGTGTGACGCTCTGCCCTCCGGGTCGAGTACTCTCTGCATTTGCCAGACAGGCTCTCTACCACCTGAACCACATCCCAAGCCCTATTTTTTGTCGGTGATGGGGCTTGAACTGTGGGCCTGGGCACTGTCCAGCTCAAGGCGAGTGCTCCACCACTTGAGCCACAGCACCACTTCCTGCTCGGCCAATTTTTGAGACTCCATTCTCACTTTCTGCTCAGCTCAGCCTGGAGCTGTGATCCTCCTATTCGGGCCTTCTGCTAGGCTGGGATTACAGGTACACACCACGAGACCTAACTTACTGGTTCTGAAGGGGTGATGTCTCATGAACATTTTGCCCCAGGCTGGCTTGGAACCTTGATCCTTCGGATCTCAGTCTCTGTATAGCTAGGATTATAGATATGAGCCACTGTGCCTAGCTGCAATCTTCTTACAGATTAGTTTTCTTTCAGATCTGCATAAAGCTAAAAAACGTGTGGCGTACACACAAGTCTTTTTTTTTTTGTTGTTGGTCGTGGGGCTTGAACTCTGGGCTTTGGATGCTGTCCCTCAGCTCTTCAGCTCAAGACAAGCGCTCTACCGCTTGAGCCTCAGCGCCACTTCTGGTTTTCTGGTGGTTTATTGGAGATAAGAGTTTCACGGACTTTCCTGCCTGGGCTGGCTTTGAACTGTGATCCTCAGATCTCAGCCTCCTGAGTAGCTAGGATTACAGGCGTGAGCCACTGGTGCTTGGTTTACACACAAGTCTTGACACACACACCACACAGGGATTGGAAGTGGGAACTCGGACAAGCACCTGTTCAGTTGTGGCGCTGCTTTGTGGTGACTGGGGATAGGACGCGGCCAGCACCCCACAATGGCTCCAGGGCAGAAAGACCCGGATGCACACCATGGATGGACTCAGTGTCACAGACACCTTGGGATGTTAGCCAGCCAGTAAAGAGAGAAGCTCCCCTCACATGCTGCACGGGAGTGGGCCTTGGAAACACAAAGCTGAGTATGCCATCCACTGCATGGCTGAAATGTGTATGACCTGCCCAGAATGGGCAGAGCTGCAGGGACAGAGGGCAGGGGACACGGGGGCAGGGGGCATGGGGCAGAGTGCACAGGGGCAGAGGGCAGGGGGCACGGGGGAGGGGGCAGAGGGCAGGGGGCAGAGGGCAGGCTGGACGGATCGTGGCTGGGGAGGCCAGGTAACGCCAAGTGGTTCTGTGGCCGAGGCCGACTTTGGGGAACCGGGGACGGCGGGAGCAGGGAGGAAGGGCGAGGCTGAGGCCCGTTTGGATGGAGAAAGCGCTGTTGGGCAAGCGGAGGCGGGCGGGCGCGCCGGGCCAGGTCCCTGCGCCGGTCACCCCGCCTGGGCCGCCGGTCACCCCGCCTCGAAGGAGCCGGTCACCCCGCCTGGAGGGCGCCGGTCACCCCGCCTGGGCCGCCGGTCACCCCGCCTGGAGGGAGCCGGTCACCCCGCCTGGGCCGCCGGTCACCCCGCCTGGAGGGAGCCGGTCACCCCGCCTGGAGGGCGCCGGTCACCCCGCCTGGGCCGCCGGTCACCCCGCCTGGAGGGAGCCGGTCACCCCGCCTGGGCCGCCGGTCACCCCGCCTGGACGGAGCCGGTCACCCCGCCTGGGCCGCCGGTCACCCCGCCTGGAGGGCGCCGGTCACCCCGCCTGGAGGGCGCCGGTCACCCCGCCTGGGCGGCCGGTCACCCCGCCTGGGCCGCCGGTCACCCCGCCTGGAGGGCGCCGGTCACCCCTCCTCGAAGGAGCCGTTCACCCCGCCTGGGCCGCCGGTCACCCCGCCTGGAGGGCGCCGGTCACCCCGCCTGGAGGGCGCCGGTCACCCCGCCTGGAGGGCGCCGGTCACCCCGCCTGGGCCGCCGGTCACCCCGCCTGGGCGGCCGGTGGAGGACTTGGTCCGACGCGGTCGCTGGACGGACACGCGAGACCCCGCCCGAAAAGCAGCCGGGGGTGTGGTCGCGCGGCCGAGGCCCCGCGGGAAACGAACCGCGAGGGCGGGCGGGCGCGGGGCCACGGCGGGGCGGGCGCGGGGCCACGGCGGAAGTCTGGGCCGGGGGCCGCCGTGGGCCCGGGCCGCGCGGGGCTCGGGTGCGGGCTGGGGACGCCGGGCCCGCGGGCCCCTGCGGCAGGGCGGCCCCTCCCCCCTCCCCTCCCCTCCCCCCTCCCCTCCCCTCTCCCCTCCCCTCTCCCCCCCCTCCCTCCCTCCTCCGCCCGCGGGGCCGGGACGCGGCCCTCGGGTCCCGCCGCGGGCCGGGCGCTCACCGCGGGGCCGCCGTGCGTGCGGACGTCGGGGCGGCGCGGGCCGGAGCGCGGCGGAGGCGAGGTCTGAGGTCCGCCCGGGCCGCGAATCACGGGACCGGCGGGGTGGGGGCCGCACTTCCTCCGTCCGCGCCCACCGCGCCGCCCGCCCACTTCCGGAGCCATGTCCCGCCCTCAGGGCCCCCAGAGCAACCTGACCTCCCACCTCTGACCCGGACCCCCGCCCAGACCCCGCCCTCACACCCCAGCTCCGACCCCGACCGCCGACCAGACCCCACCCCGACCCCTCCTGCGGAGCTCCAGGGCAGAGCCCGCCCAGACAGACAGACCACAGACAGGGAGGCAGGCAGACAGACAGGCAGACAGACAGACAGAGACAGACAGGGAGGCAGGCAGACAGACAGACAGAGACAGACAGGGAGGCAGGCAGACAGACAGGCAGACAGACAGAGACAGACAGGGAGGCAGGCAGACAGACAGACAGGGAGGCAGGCAGACAGACAGGCAGACAGACAGAGACAGACAGGGAGGCAGGCAGACAGACAGAGAGACAGGGAGGCAGGCAGACAGACAGGCAGACAGAGAGACAGACAGACAGACAGGCAGACAGACAGCCAGATAGACAGACAGACAGCTTAGACAGACAGACAGACAGGGAGGCAGGCAGACAGACAGACGGACAGGCAGGCAGGCAGGGTGGGGGACCCAGAGGCGCTCGGGCCCTGTCTGAGCTGCCGCTTGGGAGTTGGATTCTCCAGGAGCCACGTGCAGCCGTCCTTAATCCAGAAGCGCATTTCGGGGTGACCTGCACTCTTTGCTTTTTTTTCTCGGGAGGCTGAGACCTGAGAATCAGCGGGGCTTTGCCTGTTCCGTAGCACGCGCTGTCTCACTCAGCAATAGGACGCTGTGGTGCACTGTGTTGTAGCGGGTGGCAGGGCTTCCTTCTTCAGGGCTGAGCGGTATTCCACAATACAGACATGCCCCCTGTTCATCCACAGATCTGCGGGGATCCTCTGATGGGACAGGACAAGTGTAGCATCTGGGGTTGGGGTGGGTGGCAGGAAGGCAGAGGTGCAAGGCGAGGTGCAAGGGTGGCCTGGCTGTCTGTGGGGAGCAGGAGGAAAAGACTGAGAACGCAAGTTCTTCTTAGAAGACAGAAGATGAGGGGGGCGGCCGTGGATGGCCGTGTCCTCTGCGGAGCAGGGTGGACAAGGTCTGCCCAGATTGTAGGAACACGTGGCTGGAGCCATTGGCTTGGACAGGTCTAGT